TTCAGCCAAAGTACCCCAGCGCGTAACGTCTTTAGTTGTATCCGCTGACGAAGTTTGATTGAAAAATGCCGATCCCAAAGGATAATTGCTCCGTCGAATGGCGATTTTGTCGGCATGTTTTTTCACTTTTGTTGCATGATCTGTCAGTGCAACGCATCCACGTGAGCCATAGTTAATTAAGTCACTACAATACACACAATAAGCTTTGCCTGCTACGTCAAAGCTTATTGTCCAAGAGCTTCTGTAACTTCGTCGAACTTGGAACCAATTTTAACCTTTACAGTGACTTTTCTGTCAAGCCAGTCCAATCGGAATTTATTCTTGACATTTGAGTCAATTTCTAGGATTAAAGACTCCTGATCTTTCGTCAAAAATTTCATAATTCCGCTCAAAACGATCCCAGAACAATGAATTTGCTAGCCGAACAGGCCGCCATGAATCAGGTAAAACAATATGTTACATGCAATTTGATTGGTCCAATCGCTTGTAGTTAACCAATCGCTGGGCCGTTTATAATCGAGCTAAGACTTCCGCAACAAATAATGCCTTCGGTGATCTGATTAGTTGAAGCTTTCATACACGTCCAATCGCAGGGCTGTTTACAAACGGAAAACGGAGAGACTGTTCGGGAGAGCTCGTGAAAACTCGACGATAAGGTACCTGACCGCCCCTAAAATTTTCTCAACGGATTTAGACGATTCACAAAAATGATCAATTTCAGAAATAAAACGGCGGATTTCCGCGGATCCGCGGAAAATTGCCATGTATGATAATATTAAGACCGGGCGCTCGTGGGCACAAGAGTTTGACCAACAGAATTGTCACACAGTCAACACATGCTTTGGCCAACACGTTTAATAGTTTTATCCCATTTTACTCTTTCCTAGCCAAACAGTAAAATCCAAAACGATTAAAATATACACTTAATAACATGTACACGTGGCTGACTTACAAGTGGCCACTGGAGTTGTTGGTTGACATTAGCCATCCCACAGAGACAGAACATTTTCCGTCAGACATGCCGACATGAGCGACGTGATTATTCCAACAATGAACGCGATCCCAATTTATAACACTGGGGACACTTGCTTTGGGGAAGCCACACCACCAGGTCCACATGCGCAATCGAATGAGATGACTAACCCTTTACAAAAGGTAATGATGGTCTTTGTTTTTTTTTTTTTTTTTTGGTGCAGCTCTTGTATTGGATCACATTAGACAAGCGGGTGTGCCTTAAATAAGGACCAGTTAGTGTAGACAGGAGTCCCACCCCTCCGCAGAGTGCCATGACACTTGGTTTTAGTATACAAGACAGGACATGCTCAAAATTTTGAAGAAGATGAAACGTGTCTGTTTTCTTTTGCTCAAAGGTAGGACAAAGAAAGAGTAAGTTGTAAAACTGCATGAAAAAGCTGTAAAAATCACCATTAAAATTGGACTGTGGCTCCTTACATGGACGTGAATAACCCCAAAAGTCAATGGAGTCAACATTTCTCATGATTAGGGTTGCAAATTCCTCACTTTTCCATAGTCACTAATGAGAATAAACTTGGAATTGACAAAATTGAAGGTTGGCTCTTAATAGAGAATTTAAATACAGTTGGGGAAAAATCTGAGTAAAACAAGATTTCCTCCGATTTACATGTGCCATCTACGGAGAGACATATTTTTGCATGGATGTCTCATTGTTGTCGGCGCCTTAAAATAATGGCCAGTCATATTTTGACAAAAAAATAATAAATTGCCCTAACATCTACCCATCTCTGCTAAAATTGTCTACAAAAAATCCTTAAACAGATTTTTCAATTCTACACCTGGAATGAAATTATTTACTAATGTAATCTAATTAGAAATAGGTTATTTTTTTGTTTGTTTTCTGAAAAAAAAAGACCATTATTTTAAGAGGTTGAGGTTAACATCAGAATGGAAATTTACAGAAAATTTCCCAACTCTTTGCAGACCCATTCACCAGGCCAACTGACAAACAGCGTGTGATGAAGTAGTGCACAAAAATCAGAAAATACAAATCTATAAACAGGTGACAAGTGCTCAATTCCAACAACCAAAATAACAGCGCCGGGTGCTGAGGAGGGATACTCAATAAGTAAAACAAACTCAGATTGGCCAGGTGAGGCGGTTCTAGTTGTCGTCTTCGCTGTCGTCATCGTCGTCCTCACTGATGAGGTAGCCGCGCGCCCCGCTGTGGTGAGGCGACGGTGAGGGCGGCAGGGAGGTCTTGTTGAAGAAGGGCAGGCGGAAGGTGGGCGAGGGTGAGCGCTCCTCGCGAGTGGGACTACTGCTGGGGCTTTGGCGAGGGCTGATGGCCTGCAACATGCGACCTTTGCCCTCCTTCAGCATGTGCTTCTGTTCTTGCACACACACGCGCACACACACACAGCAGAGAGACTCTTATTAACATTAATATTTTTTCTTGATTGAATACAAAAATCTGTTGTGTTTTTCTTGGGGAGGCGGATGAGGTTATTTGTGACTGAGGCTAGAGAAGGTGGCCGCTTTGGTTTTGCCAAGCTAAGATTAAATAAGTGTACAGCAATGTTTCCCCATTGTTTGGGTTGCTATTATTGTGTTGGGATCATTAAGTATCGACACAGGCAATTAACACTTTTGGGTGCGCAACATTTATTCATAAAGATGTGCAATTCTGTCGGGCTAAGTCCACTATACTTTGTATAAGTAAACATACACTTTTTTTCAATAGTTGAAATTAATCTTATATACAGTCATACCTCGGTTTTCGACCATAATCCGTTTCAGAAGGCTGTTCGAAAACAGATTTGTTCGAAAACTGAAACCATGTTTCCCATTATAATCAATGTAATAAATTTTAATCCGTTCCAAGTCTTGAAAACAACTTTTTAAAAGCATTTTCTTTTACTATTTTACACCATAAACTGTATACTGATGTAATAAGACAGAAGGTAATATGTAAAAATACTGTACAAACATTTTGTATGTTTTATTTTTTACCAATTTAAACAAACATTGACATTGTAACATAAAAATTCAAGTAACATCTCTCTCTTCCATCGTGACAGTTGTAGATTACATTATTTTACACCTTGAACGAATAGACCATTTTTTATCAAATCTCCATACAATTGTCTTGCTTTGCCACAAATCGTATCTTGGCTAAGACTGTCCCCTGCTTGCTGTTTCTCATTTATGAAAATAAGCAAAAGTTTCTCCACTTCCTCTAATATTTGTGGCCTTTGTTTGCTAAACACGTGGGATCCTTTAGCCACATCAGTGACTTTAAGATGATCTTTTTTAGGATGCTGCTGATAGTCGATTTCGGCATGCCGAACTCCTTAGCCAACACACATACACCTGATTCATATTTCGCTATCAAATCTTTCTTAAATTCTATAGTTTTGCGCACCATTTTCCTCTTTTTTTTCACCATCTTTACTACTTCCACTTGCTTTCTTTGGTGCCATGATTAGGGGCTGATACATAATGCAGAAATAACAGTCCGATTTGTGTAGATGTCAACAAACACGATGCTATTTTTTTATCTTTATTAAACACGTCCGCTCACATTGGACACTCTTTTTTTTTTAAATATTTATTTAATACATCCGCTCACATTGGACGCTCTTTTTTTTTTTTTTTAATCTTTATTGAACACGTCTGCTCACAATGGAACACTACACGAGGAAGCGTCACTTCCTCGTGTAAGGAAGGCGAGACGAGTCGAGTGGCGTATTCATGTGCGCTCAGTTTGGTTGAGAACCGATTTTCGGTCATAATCCGAGGCATTAAAAAAAAAAAAAAAGATAAATCGAAATTTTTGGTCGAAAACCGGTTTGGTCGAGAACAGAGACGTTCTAAAACCGAAGTTTGACTCTATTTTTTCGAGAAGACATGCTCAGTGCTGTATAAAAAGCAGCAGCAATTTTCATCACAACAACAAAATACAGGAGATGATCTCTGTGTAGATGCTAAATATCGGAATGTTGAAACAGAGTTGCGAAGTTCAACGCTCAACTCGGGCTGCAGCTGTTGGATGTTTTTAGAATGAAGAATTCTACTAAAAGAGTAATACTACGCTAACAGCATGTGAGGCCCAAGCATTATTTTTGTCCACTTGGGGTCATCATGCTGATGTTCTACTGTAGTATCTGTGACTCTTGAGAGTGTATAGCTCTCAAAGGCGAGGCTTAGTGAGTGAGGTCGTCATCAGTGAATAAGAAAGTAGAGTTGGCTGGCTGTCAACCGTCCGTGAGTGACAGCGTCATTTGGCTCTTGTATGAAGGTGCTTAGGTCACGTTTTGTTTTCTTTCTTTCGTTTGTGCAATGAAGCGAATGAGCCAGCAGCCATGTCTGTCCTTGGCCACTAGTGACCCGTAGGCTATGAGATGAGCTCGTTATCTGTGTTAGCGAACATAAATGTCCTGTTGTGGCTTACATTGCACTTTGTCTTCACTGATACATAAATGTGAAATGATTGCTAACATTGGAGATTCTTTGTCTTTTATGGACTCTTTCCGCCTGGTTTGCCGCCATGTCACTAACTTGTCTCAGCATAGACGGGTGCGCCCATCTGTGGGATGACATGTTGCTATGTAAAAGTGCAACGTTGTGCCGACCCCCAACTCTCCCAAAAAAATAAAAACTTTCTTCATTTCCAGCTACGGGCTCCCATTACAAAACTTCTCCTGTTGACATTTTTTTTTTCGTGTCATCAAAACGAACACACGACATTACATTCTCACCAGAGCTCCTTCCGGCCCGAACATCTGCAGGAAGTTGCCAATGAACTCCCGGGACTTCTCCTCCCACTTCTGGATGAGGTCGATGCTCTTCTCCTCCACCTTGAGGACAAACTCTTTGCTCTTCTCCTCCACGTCTCGTACCTTCCTCTTCACCTTGTCCACGCGCTCCTGCAGGTGGTACTTCTTCTCCTGGGAACACGGTCACGTCACACACCAGTGCTGGCTCCCGACAAGATGCGAAGGCGACGGGCGCTTTATTACGTTGATGAAGCTGACGTTGAGCTCCTTGGCCGTGTAGCCCCTCTGCAGGTTGCGCCTGACGTACACGTCGTAGTCGCGGACGATGCGCGTGATGATGTCAGAGGTGGAGATGCCTTCTGTCCGCTGGGTGGGCGCAAACATGCCTATGGGTAGCACAGCAGCTTTTCAACCCAAGCCAACTTTCTGATGCAAACTGGGTTTTGTTACACCCCTTTATCTGTCTATGCCAGCAATATATAGTGACAGGCAGGACAGTGAAATGCTCTTCCACTCCATGGGAGAAGGTGCAATCAATGTGTAGCAGTCATGATTTGATTATTAAATTAGGAATGAGTTGTGAAGGTCCTCTGCTACAGAGGCTTTCAAAAGTCTACACACCGGCAGGATTTTTGTGAGCTTTTTTTGAAAGCTGGAACTGGAGCCTTGGTCAAGGTGGAGGGCAGAATGAACAGTTCCAAATATCAGGGTGTCCAGTCAGAGGTTCCTGCTTCCATCCTGTGTGCAGTTTACATATTCTCCCACCATGGGCTTGTTTACCTGCTTCCTTGATGTGCTTATACACGTCATCACTGCCAGCCGAGGAGTACGGGATGTCGTCATGGGCCACAAAGTCAATCTGGCCAAATCAACAAAGGTGACACAGCGGGTTCAGTCATTAAAAGAAAAAAAAAAAAAAAAAAACAATTAAACAGCAAAGTGACAACTTCGTAGGGCCTCTCATCCACTCACGCGGTGTTTGGCGAGGAACTCTGGCGTCAACGTCCAAGGGGCGTTGCGCACCACTTCGTCCACGTAGCGGCAATGTCGGATGGCGTCGTAGCGCTCGTCTTCATTCATGACCGTGAAGCCCTTGAACTTGTGCGTCAGGTCGTCACTGCAGACTTGAAACAGGAACAACAGATGTGAGAGAACCCTCACGTGATTACGATGCCAAAGGGAGTCCGGTTCGACACCACTGCAAATTATAGTGCTCAACAAGGCAGAGCAATTTTGAAAAATAATCTACCGCCATTTGCGGACTATAAAACGCACCTGATCAATAGCCAGCTATATTTAGCCATAAAAATTCATTTGTACAGCCGCGGACCGCTTCGGACGAATAGCCGCGGGTCTCCGTGTTATTAAATCGGCGATTATCGATATGATAAACCCAGCGGTCGATGATCTCCTGGAAACAAGAATGCCAAAAGCAGGTGCAGGTACAGTCCCCCCCCCCCCCCCCCCCACACAAACACACACACACCTCCCCCAGAGGTGTGTGTTTGGGAAGAGGCATTTGGCCTGCATTAGAGCCCTGGCATGTCCTGAGTGGAAAACGTCAAAGATTCCATCGGCATACACCCTCACCGGCCTTTCCGCTGAACAGACAGAAAAGGGCACGAGTGATGAATTCTGTGGACATCAACAGAAAAAAGGTGGTGGAGGGAAGGAAGGATCACTGCTAAGTTTGACTCACGCGGCGTTCCCCGTTTGGCCTCTTCCATGCAGACCCTCTGGTAAGGCTGCGTATTCGCTGGCACCAGCTCGTCGGCGAAAGGCGCCGGCTCCTTCAACCCCTGAAGGACCCGCACAATCGGCATGAGAGGTTAAGCAGCACTCAAAAGCCTGCCCAGCTCTTTCCACACGACATATGAGAAACCATGCCATTCAAAAGTTTGGGGTCACACACAAAATGTTCCGTTGGTGCGTCACAATTTCATGTTTTAATGCATTGTGCAGCTTCTGGTGTGCGCGCCTGCGCCACCAGGGGGAAGAAGAGTGCATAAAGACCTACCACCCACAAGGATTTGATGATGAAACAGAAGACCTTCACAACTAAGCTACAGTAATGAGTTGATTTTTTTGCAGAGGATAAAGAATATGTGCAACATGAACATCTGCTGTGTTTTACAATGTGTGTTAGCAGTAAGCCAGGGGACCTTCACAACCAAAGTGCTTGCAGCAAGTAGACTTCGACTTGAAGCAAGCACTTGGCCTCATTGTTTTGAAACACAGTTCACTAGCTTGAGCTTTTTACCGCTTGTTAAGTTAACTGCAAAATAGCGGCGGCAATTCAAATTTTCTCACAACGTAAAAAAAAAAAAAAAAAAGTCAGGCCACTTGTATGTCGAGATAATGCCGCATAGCTCTATAAAGCTCCTTCAGCCAGAGACTGTTCCACCCGCGCTGCAAGGAGAGATACCGCCGCTCGTTCCTACCGACTGCTGTCAGGCTGCTGAATAAACATGCGTAAAAACCTGTAACCATTGTAAATAGCACAGCTACCTTATGATGCATATATGCAGTTGCATATATGCTTATATATACACATCTTATAATTATATTGCATTCTATACTGCGTACAGTTCTTTTTCTGAAACATTTATTTGTGCATGCAACACTTTGTTTTTTTTCTTTTCTACCCCCTGCCCCCCCCCCTCAATTTTGCTGCTGTAGACTGCAAATTTCCCCAGTGTGGGACAAATAAAGGTTATCTTATCTTATAAATTGTTTGCATCTCAATGAATTAGAATAGCAGTGAGAAGTTACAGTCCAAAACTAAAACTTGCCTCAAGTCATAAAATGCGTTCCAAGCCAATTTCTAAATTCTTGATCATTTGGAGTGGATTCTTATGGACTATGCTATCTTAAAGTTGGTCTGAAATAATGCACTCCGTGTGTTTAATCAGTAAATATATATACAATAAATTATATTTTCTACAGTATTGTGTGTGTGTGTGTGTGTGTGTGTGTGTGTGTGTGTGTGTGTGTGTGTGTGTAAATTCTCTTTGAGCAGATTTAATGAAGAGCGTTGAAATTGTCGTGCGTAATAAATTAAAATGCATTTTAGATCCAGAATTGACGTTATGCGAGAGTTGTGTTTTAATCCGTGAATTAAAATGATGGAGTACTACTTTTCTGGAAAGCGAGGACGGTGATCATGGGACCCTGTAGCTGTTCACGTAAAGCAACGCGCCAACTTTTCATGACCAAACAAGGCTCGTGCTCTCTCGCTCTTCTGATTGTGCAATTGCAACGAAGTTGTTACCACATGAACCTGACATGCACACACGCCCGCGGTGCCAACTCACCACGGTGCATCTGGGGATTTTGCCGATCCTTTCTCCCACCTCCTTGTCCACATTGGAGACGTCTCGTTTCCTCTTCCTGGACTGAAGTGGCGCACTGGTGCTTTGCATCTGAGTCAGAGGTCAAGACAAACGACCATGACAGCTGCTCCGTGCGAGAGCTGGCACAGAGCGGCGGCTGGCTAAAGTCACACGTCATATCATTGACGCAAGGGCGCCCATATTCGATGCTCGCTGACTTCGGATGACTCCATGGCGTGACTAACTCTCAGCTGAGTGACTCGCGGAAGTCGCACACACTGCTCCTTTTAGACAACATAATCAGCATCTGCTCCCCCCTTCTCGATGACATAACGCAAATTTCTCTACTTGTGCTTCTTTTAGGAGGGATGAGACACACTTTGTTTTTTAATTCATGAGGCCCTTGGTCAGTCGTTTTACATACACACAGGAGCCAGGATCAATTGCCACCCATAATGGTGCCATGACCGTTGCATAATCCGTCCCCAAACAGCTCATAACCCCTGCAACGTGACAACGTAGCCCTGCTTGGGAACCACTGCTTTGTGAGAATGGTGTCCCATACACTTTAAAGGGTTCTACAGTGATGGCAATGGCGATGATGAAAAAAAAACCCGAAAGGGGCATGGCCTGGACGGGGGCGTGGCCTGGACGGGGCGTGGTTACTTACAAAAGTGGCACTAAACATGCTGAAGATGAGATGAAGTACAGTGGCGGACCCTGAGGGCCAGCAAGGCCTTCTCTGCTGGCCTAAACATTCTCAGAAAAGTAAATTTACTTTTATGTATTTTATGTTATTTTATAATTTATGTTATTTTATTTTCATAAATATGTAAAAAAAATATTCTCTGTATTCTTTACATCATACAGAGATGAAAGTGGACTTTTCTGAAAATTCCGGGGGAAAAAAAATGAATATATGTGTTTTTGTGTGTGTAGGTGTGTGTGTGTGTGTGTGTGTGTGTGTGTGGGTGTGTGGGGGTCACCACA